AGCTCAACTCATATGATTGTGGGAAAATTCTTCTTCTACCAGTCCTTCATTACCTTAAACGAAATTGGGTGAATACATTTTATACTACTGATTTACTGGTAGTCACGAAAACAATACGTAATTCGAAAAATCCTCCCTTGGTTTCAGACGAGGCAACTTTTCCTTCTGAATAAAAATTCGAGTCACACATGCTCCTGTTTTTCTATCACAATCATTTTTGGTCACTTTACTTTATCCTTACGTAGAATTCGCACCTGTAGGCATATAAGACGAAGCAGAGCAGTCCTCGTAACAAAGGGGCTTTTGCTTCAAATTTGTCTGGCACCACCAAGTCACAGCATCAACGGGGTATATGTATACAAATAATTTAATTAATTATTTAAAAAAATGTATATATATATATGCCTGTGCAAATACGAAAGCATGCACATCAGCACAAATGGGCGCGAGTAAACGCACACTCACAAAAGCAATAATATCAGTCCATTTATTCACATACACACATACAGGCAGACAAACAGATAGATAGACCTACCCATATACATATATCCATACACGCTTTATATATGTATATGCATGCGTACTTACATATATATGCACCGAGAGTATAAGCATGCATACATACAAACGCGAGTCCACATACGCACAATACAATAAGTGCCTAACATCTTCCGGTAGGTCCAGTCCATTCCATCATGAATGTATAAGATCTAAACACAGATTGATTGTGGATTTTAGACCTGAAGATGAACGGCTTTCTGTTAATTCTACTCCATAAATTAGGCTTAATCTACTACATACAGTCGTCCCAGAATGGTTTGACATTTGATAGCAACTGCGGGCCGACCCAGCATTATAAGTGGCCGGTACGGCTGGCTTGGTTCAATTCAATCTGCCCATAAGTTGTGAACATCGTCTAGAGACAGCATTGGGAAAACCATTGAAAATTGTTTGTGTAAAATGGTAGCAGCCCATATGATTGTCCCTTCACATGTTCTACTGCACTGCCTTCTAGGGTCGCTCTAACCCCAGGAAGGATGAGTATATCTTGAACACAAAACTGATTCAGGCTAGGTCGTTTAAAGTGGTGTAAGACTGAAAGTTTAATTTCAAGTAGTTTTCCAAGTCAACTAGCTTCGAATTAGTAGGCTCGTCGAGTTTAATAAGCAATAAAATATTGCATTCATTTCTTATAAAAGTATATAAAGAAGGGATTCGTAAGTTGAACTCAGCAGAAGATGACGGCGGATTCACGTCGTAATGCTGTCGCTTATCTTTAATACGATGTTCCTGGAGACATACTGCCTCGTTTTAGGGAAGAAAGGTCTGAGTTTATGTCTTCAAATGATGGACATCATCAGAGCCGGAATTCATTCTTGTAAAAGTCTCATGTTAACACTCGGTCAAGAAGGCCATCTTCTGGCGCCAAGTGCATTCACTTGCCTGTGAGGAGGAAACTTGCCTAAATAGGCAAAGTTAGACAATATGTGAGGTATTCACCCAATTTCGTTTAAGGTGATGAAGGACTGGTAGAAAAAACGAAATTGTGTAAATACATATCATACTACTTATTTACTGGTAGTCACGAAAACAATACTTAATTCGAAAAATAAAGTATGCTAGTCGATTGTTGTAGCAAGACATACGTCTGCTTCATAGACAATTACACCAAAAGAATATGATATGGCAAAAAGGCCTGGCCTTCCTTGGAAATTCACATTTGTCCTG